TTCTCCTCCTGCAGCCGGCGCAGGGCCTCCTCCTTCCCGCCTGGCCTGGGGAGGACACGGCCCAGGTGGTGACTCGCAGCCCGGTGCGGGCGGGCCCAGCCCTGCCGCCCCCGGCCGCCGGCTCACCCGAGGCCGCAGGCCTGCTCCGGGTGCTCACACAGCGCCGCCGCCTCCCTCTGCAGCTGGGCCTCGTCAGGCCCACCCTGGGGCGCTCCCGAGCCGCTGGCCTCAGAGGCTGTGTGCGAGGACTTGAGGACGCAGCAGTGTCAGGGCGGGGACCGAGCGCTCCCCCACCCCCGCGGGCTCGAGTGGGGTCACCCTGAGGGTGCATCCTCCCCCCCAAAGTGACCGAGGACTCCCTACCTCGGCCTGGGAGGTGTCCTTGTCACGGCTTCGCTCGTGCTGTCCCTGGAGCTGCGTCACTTCCCGGCTCAGGGTGGCCACCCGGGCCTCCAGCTGTGACAGGTGCAGAGGCCGGTGCCGACCCTGCTCTGCTACAGCCATGGGCTGCGCCAGCCACGGCGAGTGTGACCCAGACCGCCCCACCCCCCAGCCGTCCCAAGGCCCGGAACCCCAGAGCCACAGCGGGCTGCCAAGGCCTGTGATGGACCCAGCCCCTGGCACCAAGCCCCCGCCCCCGCCCAGGGTCCTGTGGTCACGCTGAGGGTCACGGCGGCAGAGCCCGGCGGCTGTCCTCACCCGCCCCGTCACTCACCTCTCTCCGGGCGCCCTGGGCTTCCTCCAGCTGGGCGCTCAGGGCCTGGGCCCCGCTGGCCGCGGCCGCCTCCCTGTCCTGGGCCTCCTGCAGCCTGCGGAGCAGCTCCTCCTGCCGGCTCTGCGCTCGGCACAGCTCCTGTGCCTGCGCCTGCAGCGCTGCCCGGGCCTCAGCCAGGTCCTGGGGAGTCGGGGTGGGGGGCGAGGCCCGGGTCAGGACAGACCTGGGAGGCACAGCGCCCTGGGCCACCAGCCGGCCTAAGCAGCCCTCACCTGGCGCAGCTGGTCCCTCTCCTGCTGCAGGTCACTGTCCCGCGGGGACAAGGGGGCCTTGCCGTCCCTCAGCGTCTCTGCCAGGAATAGTCACTGAGACCAGGCACACAGATGGCCCGGCCTCAGCAGGTGCACCCCGAGCAGTGCCTCCGAGGGCCTCTGGCAGGGGAGGGGAGCGCCCCCAAGCGAGCGGCTGGGCCTGCAGCAGCCCCAGGCCCACACCCTCAGCCCAGCTGCGGCAGCCGCCCCCTTACCTGAGTCCTTCCAGCTCAGCTCCACGTCCTGCTCCACGGCGCTCGCCGGCTCGGCAGCACTCTCAGGACTGGGCCTGCGAGGGCACAGGGCAACACGCGCTGGCAGAGCCCCCAGGCCCGGATGCCTCCTCCCCCGTCCAGTCATTCACGCATCCAAGAGACATCCACCGCACACAGCCCCCTGCCCAGGCCCGGCCTCTATGCTGGGGAGAAAGCCGCTTTAGACTCCAGGCCTCTGGTCCTGTGTCCGGTGCTCCCCCAGCCTGCCCTGGGCACGCTGAGCACCAGGCGCGGGGCTGCAGCCCACGGGGGCCTGCGGCGTGCCCGTGCCAGGAACTCACTCTGCTCCCCTTCCCGGGGTCCTAACGGGACCAGGCAGCCCCTGGCTTCCCCACCAGGTGTGCGAGGGCTGGACTCACCTGCCCAAGGTGTAGGTGAAGCCCACGAATGGCAGATGATGGCCCGAGAAGGCCCCGTGGGTGGGCGGTGGCAGAGTCCCCTGCGGGGGGGGGGGTGCAGGGCGTCAGCGGGCCCAGCGCCAGGCTGAGGCCTGCGCGCTCCCTCAAATATAAAAAGAAAACTTTTGCCTGTCAAATGTTAAAAGAAAACTTCTGCAGCAAAAGAAACATCTTTTTTTTAACTAGCTCGAGAGACACAGGGAGCAAGCTCCCATCCACGGCGCACCCCCGGCTGCCGACGACATCCCAGCCGGGAGCTGGGGTCTCGCTCCAGGTCTCCCGTGAGGGTGGCAGGGAGCCGCAGCCAGGAGCGAGAGCCAGTCCCAACTCCTGCCTCAAAGCTCTGAGACTCCGCCTTCCATGGTCACACGATGACGCGCTCGTGCGTGAGCTCGGGTTAAGGGACTACCCCAGGGACTTCCTGCGGCACAACCCAGCTCGGTGCAGGTGGACGGGCTCTGGTGATCATGGCTCGGGGCTCTGAAGGCCTCACGCCCAGTCCAGAGCGGCTCGAGGGACTCCTGGGGCCTCAGGGCGGTCCCCAGGCACTCACTGGATGGTTGAGCGTGTCGTCGTCCACGTCAAAGTTGGAGGTGTCCAGGGGCCCACGGAGCTCAGGGATGTAGGGAGCAGTGCTGGTGGCCAGCCGCTCCCAGTCCACGCCCTCGAAGAAGGGATGGTTCCGGAAGTCGTCCAGCCCGCCGCGGCCCAGCCGCTCCTCCTGGCGGCACAGCAGCTGGCGGATGAGGTCCTGGGCGCTGGCGGGCACGTCGGGCACATCTGGCGGGAACTGCAGGTGGTCCTGCGGCCAGGGCCAGGCCGGCCCGGTCAGGTGGGGCCCAGCGGTGTCTCTGACCACCCCGGGCTCAGGGACCCCGCTGCCCTCCCTGGGACCCCAGAGCCACGTGGCCCAACCTCGTGGTTCATGATCTTGCCGTAGGTCTCCACGAGGGACTCAGCGTAGAAGGGGGTCTCCCCAAAGAGCAGCTCGTAGGCGCAGACCCCCAGCGACCACCAGTCGCACTGAGGCCCATAGTGGCCGGTGCCCTCCTCCATGGCCTGCAGGATCTCGGGGGAGATGTAGTCTGGCGTTCCCACTGCCACGGACGAGTCCACCTGCGGGAGGCGCAAAGCTCCTGGCCGTGACCCTGGCACCCTCACGCCCCCAAGGCCGGCCAGGCCTAGTGCCCACCCCAGCCCGGCCCGGCCCGGCCCGGCGCCTCCCATTCCGGAGAGCTCGGCCCACCAGGCCCGGAGTCCCTGCTGCCTCTCGGGCGGGGTGAGGTCCTCACCATGCCACTCTCGTTGAGCCGTAGGCAGGAGCCGAAGTCGGCCAGGCGGATGTGGCCGTTCAGGTCCAGCAGGATGTTGTCCGGCTTCACATCCCTGGGGGAGGGGAGGTGGGGGAGCGAAGGCCTGTGTGGCAGATGTGCGTTGGGCACACGCCCAAGGGCCGAGGAGCACGCGCGCGCGCGTGTGTGTGTGTCCGTGTCCCCAGGCGCTCCTGGGTGCGCGCAGGTGGGTGGGAGAAGGCTGGGGACCAGAAGCTAGGAGGCCACAGGGCCGAGACTTGGGGGCAGCAGCGTGCACTGGCGGGGGGGTCACGCTTCTCCAGGGGAGACCACCCACCTGCCGGCTCACCCCAAGTCAGGCGCCCACCTGCACTACGCTCTGGCCTCCCTCCCCGACCGCAAACCGCGGCCCCCAGCACGTAAGGCCACACGGGGCCCACCTGTGGACGTAGCCCAGCTGATGCAGGGAGTGGATGGCCAGCACCATCTCTGCCAGGTAGAACTGCGCCAGCTCGGGCGGGAGGCGGTCCTCGAAGCGGCTGAGCAGCGTGAGGAGGTCCCCGCCCGCGTAGTAGTCCATGACCAGGTACTGCGGGGCAGCGGGGTGGGGGGGACAGATTCAGCGCGGGGCAAGGGGCAGCCACCAGCCCACCTCCCAGAGGCCCCTGGCAGACGCCAGGCAGGGAGCTCAGCCGAGGGGAGCCTCCTGGTCCCGGGGTGGGGGCCCTCCCTGCCCCCTGCCCTCGGCCCCTCCCCCGCCCGCTCCAGCCAGGCGCGCACCAGGTACTCCTCGTCCTGGAAGGCGTAGTGCAGAGCGGTCACCCAGCGGCTGTCCCCCTTCACCAGGACGTCTCGCTCCTCCCGGAAGCAGGCCGTCTGCAGCAGGTTGGGGAGCGGGGCTGGGGTCAGGGTCAGCGGCCCCCCACCCGCCAGCCCCAGGGTGCGGGTGGGGGGCATCCACAGCTCTGCTCTGCCCCAGGCCGGCCTCAGAGCAGCCCACGCTTGGGGGCTCTGGGCCTCGGTGTCGCCGTGAGGGGAATGGCACAAGCCGGCGCGCTCTCAGGACGGCTCGTGGTGAAGAGGGGAGGCCGCCAAGGTGGCCCGGTGCCCCGCAGGCCTCTCCGGCGCCCCGCCCCCGGGCCGCACACTGACCTCGGCTCTCTTCAACATCTCCCACTTGTGTAGCATCTTCATGGCGAAAACCTGCCCGGTGTCCCTCTGCCTCACCACGGCGACCTGGGGGCCGCCAGGAGGAGGGGCTGAGCCGCGCCCGGGGGCCCCCCTCCCCGGGCCCCCTCCCCGGCCCCCTCCCCGGCCCTCTGCTCACCTCCCTGGCCCCTCCCCGGCCCCTCCCCGGGCCCCCTCCCCGGCCCCCTCCCTGGCCCTCTGCTCACCTCCCCGGCCCTCTGCTCACCTCCCCGGCCCCTCCCCGGCCCCCTCCCCGGCCCTCTGCTCACCTCCCCGAAGGCCCCTCGGCCGATCACCTTCAGGATCTCAAAGTCATCTCTCTGCAGACACAGCTCCTTCACCTTCTGCACGAAGGGGCCGGCTGCGGGCAGAGGGGGCTCAGGGCGCTGGCCGGGCCCCCAGTGGTTTCTCTAGGCCGTGGACGGGCAGGGTCCCGGCTCGGCTGACCAACTGGCTGCCCAACCTCCCAGGACCCCTGTCTCCAGGTGGCCTCCGCCCCCAGGGGCGCTGCTGGTGGGACTCGTAGCCCTCCCCAGGCCAGGGTCTGGCCCCGGCCGGCCAGGTGACCCCGGGGACACCATTCCTACGTCAGCTCTTGGCCCCCTAACAGCGCCGGGCCAGGGCCTGCCTTGGAAAACTGGACGGGTGACATTCCTTGTCCCCAGGGAGACACCTCTGCCTCAGGAGGGTGGGCCTGGGTCCCAGGACCCCGGAGGCACAGCAGCACCTGTCTGGGGGTGAGGCCTGGGGCAGCAGGGAGAGCAAGCCCCATGCGGCCCCTGGGGGGGCTGGGCCTGCAGGCATCGTCAGGTGCTCACAGGGCAAACCCTGACACGGGGCCGGCGGCACCTGCAGGTGTGAGCGCTCAGGATCCCCTCCGGCCTGCCCAGCCCCTCCGGCCTTGCCTCCACCTCGCCCAGGTCCCCAACACCTCCAGGAGGGGCCTCCCGAGCCCCCGCGCGTGCCCTTCCCAGGCCTGCGGGCCGTGGGAGGGGAACGGAGCCGTGGGAACCGAGTCAGGATTGGGAGCAGCTGTGGCCTGGCGCCCTGCCTCAGTTTCCCCCGCCTGCCAGCTGGGCGGGCCTGTGGGTGGGAGAGAGCTGCTCCACTGGTTTATCAGGCAGAGCCCCCGCAGCGGGGGCGGAGTGGAACCTCATTACAGAAATTAATTGTCTCTTTCCCAGGTCTGTGCGCGGCAGAGTGGGGGGGAGCGACCCATCAGCCAGACAAGGGCCAAAGCCCAGGGCCCAGGAGGCTCCCGGCCACCCTGGACGGGCTGCCCGGCCCCCTGGCCCTGCCACAGGGCACGGGGGCTCTGGGTAGGGGTGAGGACAAGTTGGGGCAGGAGACCAGTGAGTCACCACCCTTCAGGTTACCGCGGGAGACGTCAACAGATGCCCCACGCCAGGGTCCCGGGGCAGGCAGGAGGTGCACACGCGTGCACACATATGCAGGGCTGTGCTGGGTGCTGACCACGGTCACACACCCACCACACAGCAGGAGTTCTGGGGAGAGCGGACGGCAGTGTTGGGGCCAGGCAGGGCCACTCTCTGGCATGCCGTGGTGGCAGGCCCTCAGCCGTGCCAGGCCGAACCCTGGGTCTGCCCAGAGCTCAGGCGCGCCAGGAACGCTGGTCGCCCACTGGGCAAACACACGCCTCACCCTGCCTCTGCCAGCCCCCCCTGCGCCCGGGTGTGACCAGGGAGCCCTCGGGCTGGCGCCAGTGCCACACTGGGCTCAGGGTCACCCCGGGCCAGCCACTCCCGGTGACTCAGATGTGAAGATCCACCTGGGGCCGGCCCCCTACCCAGCGGCGAGGAGCAGCCCGAGGAAGCCGCGAGGGTGGGTGGGGGCTGGGTTCTGAGGCCAGGCTGGGTGGCCCCTTGTGCAGGGAGCTGGGTGGGGACAGGAGCAAGTGTCCAGCAGCCGCGGCTCTGGGGTCGTGTGGCCTGCGGGGTGCGTGCGTGGCTCCCCGAGCCCCTTTGTGTGTCGCCCCCATGAGAAGTGGGGGAGGCCTGTGTGTCCGGGGACACGCAGGGGTCTGCGTGGGGCAGGCGCTGTGACTGCGAGCCAGGAACCCCATTCGCAGCTCGCGGAGGGCGTGTAGCGCCCAGTCGTCGGGGGTCCACCCTTGGGGACGAGTTTGCGCGTCTGCGTGAAGGCGTGTGCTGGTGACACGTGCGGGGGTCTGGGAGCGGGAGCGAGCGCGCGCGCGAGTCCGAGTGCCGGCGGGGAGTCGGGGGCCGCCGCGGAGGTCCCTGCGGGGGGAGGGTCCCGGCGCCGCGCCCCTGGGCCGCCCCCCTCCGTGCCACTCACCCCAGCTCAGGAACTGCGCCACGTTGCGCTCCCGCCGCAGGGGGGCGCTGCTGAGCTCGTGGTGCAGCCCCAGCAGCAGGTCCAGGAGGCCGTCGAGCCCCGGGCCGCCGCCGGCCTCGCCCCGCGCCAGGCGCTCCAGCGCGCGCAGCCGCCGCTCCATGGCTGCGGCCGGGCCTCTCGCATGCCCGCCCGTCGGTCGGTCCGTCCGGCGGTCCGCGCGCGGGCCGGCTCCGAGCGTGCGCCCCCCACCCTCCCGCCCTCCCCGCTGTCACCTTCCTCCGCCGCCGCCCGCGCGCCCTCACCTGGGCGCCGAGCCCCGCCCTGCACCCCGCCCCCCGACGGACGGGCAGGTGCGCGCCGGCCAATGGGAGCCGCGGCTGGAGGCGAGGGTGGGAGGGCGGAGGCGCGCGGGGCGGGGCCGACCCCGGCCAGGAAGTGGGAGGGCGGGCCGCGAGGGGCACTCCTGGGCGGGGCGTGGGGCGGGGGTCCCGCGGGGTCGCGGAGTCCGCCGGGGCCGCTGGGCATCCCCTGCCGGCTCCCGCCTGAGCCCGCGCCGGGCCCTGTCCTAGGCGGCGGCCGCCCCGGGCACTCCGCCTCCCCTAGCGCCCTGTGTCCAGGGAGAGGGGCTGGGACGGCCCGCGGCCCCGTGGCCGGATGGGAATTGTAGTTCCCGCCCTCCCCGGCTCGCCCGGCGCGCTGGGCAGCCCCCTGCCCCACCCCCACTCCCACCCCAAGTCCCTGATCTCACTCTGCTAGGACAGCTGACCTGGGAGACGGGTCCGTGGGGGCACTGGGGTCGTCACACCCATTCGGCAGATGGGCACACTGAGGCCCGGGAGGACCAAAGCGAACTGAGGGGCTCCGAGGCCGGACCCTGGGGTAGGCTGGGCTGCCTCCCCCACCGCGGCCGTCCTAAGCTTGGGCGGGCGCGGGCCGTGGAGAGGTCCGAGGCTGGCCGCAGCGGGGCGGAGACGTCCAGCTGGGAGGCGCCACGGGGCTGGGGTCTGTCCGGGACCAGAGATTGACAGACGGGGCACTTTCGTGGCTTCCGACAACACAGCCGTTCGGCAAAAGCTCAGCTTGGGGGGCTGCCTCCGCCCTCGGACTGGGCCCTCCTGCGGACCGGACTGGGTCAGCTCCCCGAGCTGGGGGAGGGGGCTCCCTGGGCACGCGCGCGGGGCTGCACCGAGCACCCCCGCGGCAAACAGGGCGTTTCTAGACACAGCGGGCCTCTCCCTTACCCTGACGGAGTCCGTGCCCGCCGGCTTGCGGGGTCCGGTCCGGTGCAATGGGAGACTAGTCGGGGTCGGGCCAGGAAGGGGAGTCAGGACTCGAACCCAGAGCTCGGGATCTGCCTCGCCGTCGCGGGCCGCCCTGCGAGGGCCCGGGCGCGCGCTCTGGGCTCACACCTGCGGGATTCTGAGCCGGGCGGGGCGGGGCTGGGGTCCGCAGGAGGGGAGAAGGGGCCTGCGCGCCGCGGCCACAGGGGGGCGCCAGAGACCAGGGGAGGGGGCTGGAGAAGGGGTCCCGCGCAGGGAAGTGCCCCCCCCCCCGTCCCGGGCGGCCCAGAGCGCCCCCCTCCCTCGCCGCCGGCCCGGTTCACGCCCTGTGTGACCTCGGGCATGTCGCTTAACCTAGCTGGACTTCACATCTCTTTTGCACGCCCGTTTCCCTGCCTGGGAAGGAGTCGGGCTCCCTGCTCGGACCTTTGTGGCGTCAAAGTCAGAAAGTCCCACCAGGCTCCCTGTCCCCCCACCCTGTTCCAGCCTCAGCTGCGGCAGAAGCGGCTCCGGACCGGGCCTGGCTGTGCCCCAGCAGCCCTGTTCTCTGGGCCGGCGTGACCACACCCCCGGGGCCCCCGTGGAGGGGGCCCTGTGCCCGCCTAGCAGGCAGGAGACGCCCACCCTGCCTGCGCGACTGCCCTGGCTCCTGGATCGGTGCCTGGCAGCAGGAGGGTACTGGGGGACACCCGGATGCTGGGGCAGGGCACAGAGAAAGGCCAGGCCGGGTGGATTTGGTGTTGGCCTTTGAGGGAGAATCCCAGGGACCCAGGCCTGGCAGGAAGAGGCAGAGGCTCTGGTGAGGAAGAAACTGGGGGAAGGGGCCCTGAGACGCGAGCCCCAGTGCACGCCGGGCACGCCGTGTTTCTGATCCCAAGCATAGGTCTCTGGGCCCGGGGCGAGCTCGGGGCTGGTAGCCCCCTCCTGAGCCCAGATGTGGCTCCCTCCCCTGAAGCCCGCGGCTCACACCCGAGGCTCTGTAGGGCTCATGGGAATGGCAGCAGCGGCCAGGCTGCAGCCACTGGGGAGCCCGGTGCCCCCCACCCACCCAGGGGTCTGCGCTGCCCAGGTGTGTGGCTGTGCACGTCCCTTGGCACAGGTCAGACGAGATGGCACCTGCTCAGGTTGGGGGGGGGGGACTAGGATTGCAGACTGGCCACCAGGGGCCACCCTATTAGTGCCCCTAGCCCAGGGCACTAACCTCTGCTGCTCAGGCTGCTGGTTCCTTTTACAAATTTATTGTAATGTATTTGAAAGGCAGAGATTCCCAGCCGCGGCTGCCTCCCAGGGTGGGCGCTAACAAGCAGCCAGGATCCGCAGCAGAGCCGGGACTTGAACCCAGGCCCTCAGAGAGGTGGGCTGCAGCCTTACCCACCTGCCACCCGGCTCTTGTTTGAAATGTGCTGGCCCGATTGACACGCAGCGGTTGTGTGTGTGTGTGGGACACAGGGTGACACCGCACGCTGTGTCTCCCACGCGGAGCCGTCAGGCCAGGGGAAGTGGGCTCTCCTCGGGGGAGCCGCAAAACCTTCATGAAGAACAGAATTCAAGGTGGATTTTGAGGGAAAAGTATTTTGGGTCCAGTGCGCGGGTTTCTTTCACAACAGCATTCTCACGGAGACCTCTGGCATCAGAGTGAACTTCGCCTCGTTCTGTGTCCGTGAACTTTCTGAAACGCCCGCGTCGCCTCCGGCACCCACCACTCGTGTTGGCAGCATGCAGAACCCCTCCGGCTATTCGGGAATTCTCAGCAGACGGTGCCCGGCAGCGCTCCTGCTGGGCGGGGGACCTCGGTGTCCTTCCTCCTGCCCAGCCGGGCCTTGTGGAAACGAGGTGTTGGGGTGGTGCTGAGGGTCCCCCCACTCCCCTCACTCGTCCTTGGCAGCCCCCGGGCCTGCTGCCCCGCCCGCCCTCTGCACCAGGGGCGTGTCCTCTGGAAACTCCAGAACTCCAAATGGTCGGACATATGGCGGTTTCATCATCCTGGTCTTTTTCCCAGCCCTTCCCTGTGCTGCTCCGCCGAGCCACAGGGGCTCCCACGCTCCGCGCTGCAGCCTGGTGTGCTTTTGTAATTATCCGTCTGTCCGTCTAGGTGCACAGGAAGCCAGCGCCCCAGCCCCTTGGCCCCCCGCCCCAGGCCCATGGGCGCCGCACAGTCTGCCAGCTGCTCCAGGGAAGGGTGGGTCCGGCCTGTTTTGTTCTGGGTGTTGGGTGGGGCGCCGTGCTCCCCGCGCCCCACCCTCACCCCCTTCTCCTGACCGACCGAGCTACTGGGGGCTGTGGCGAGCACCTGCGGCCTTGGAAAACAGCCGGGGGAGCACCGAGGAGGGGGACCCCAGGAAGAGGCGGGGCTGGAACTCTGCCTGGGCGGTCGAGGGACCCCCAACTTCGATGTGCTTGGGGCAGCCCCCCGGCATCAGTGACCTGGGATGCATCTGGGGCCGACCCGCTCCCCTGCACGAGATGTGACGAGCAAGGGCCTTCATGCATGGCCTGGGGCTCCCGGGCTCTGAGGGCTGAGGTAGCCCTGCAGCCAGAGGGGGTCCTCATCCACGAGGGTCGCAGGCACGGGCTGGCCCAGGTGCGAGGCCACAGGCTCTCCCTGACCGCCAACCCCACAACTCAGCCCTGGGCTCTGGGCAGGCGTGGGCGTGGGCGCAGGCACCTGCCCCAGCCCCTCCCTCAGTTCAGCTTAGCCTTGGGGTTCACCCCGTGCTCTGGTGGGGGCAAGCCCTGCAGGCCGGAGCACTGGCCAGTCACCCTTCGGAGCCTCTCCTGCTCTCGATAAAACACGGGGCAGGCTCGGCTTTGAACTTGGGCCCCTGGAGGTGTCCAGGCCACCCTGTCTAGGGCTCTGCACTGCGTGACCCCCCGTGGGAAACATCCGGGCACTCCAGGGCCGGGGAGCCCACAGCGGGTGCTCACGGCCATGAGACACGCCCTGGAGATAAATACCTGTTTGTGCCCTGCGTGTGCCCCAACTTGGCCCGGAGCACTCGGTCCCCTACCGCGCCCCGCCGGCACCCAGTGTGTCACCCTCCCGTGCGCGGCGACACGGCCCCATATCTGCAACATCGGGCAGCCCTGGCTGTTTTCACGGCTGGCGCATTGAGCGCAGGGCGCCGGCTCCCGTCTAACTGCCCTCGGGCGGGCATGGAGCCCAGGAGCCCTTGTTCAGGCAGTGCCGGGGCCCGCGGGTGCCCTCTCCTGTGGCCAGGGTGCCGGGACGCCATGAAGACTGCAGAGGCTGCCAGCCCTACCCCGACCCCTCCTTGCCCAGCAGCCCCTGGCGGGGGTCCCTCCTCCCTACCGGGCCGCAGGGCTCCCCGTGAACAGGAGGTGGGAGCCCCCGGGCAGGGGTGGCCATTCACTGGGGGGCCCAGGGCTGGTGCCCCCAGAAAGGACGACCGAGCGCCAGACGCCAGCTTCGACAGGCAGAACTCACTTTAATGCCAGGACCAGCGTCCCCGTCAGCTTCCTCCCCAGCTGAGCGTGACCCAGCCCCACCTAACACTGTGCACGGCTCCTAGACCCAGACCCAGGCCTCCTACAGAGTAGCACTGGGGGGCGGGGATGGGGTGGACCCCCTGGAGCCCACCTGTGCCCCGACAGCTGCCAGCCAGTCAGCGCGTGCGCCCAGGGGCCCCGAGGCTGTGCGTGGACACCGCGGCGGAACGGAGGGAGGCCACTGGCCCAGGCGCTCATGGCTTGGCCAGGGCCACCTTCTGCTTGGCAGGAGGCAGGCGGCGGCTGGGGGCTCAGCCCCGGCTTCCTCCGAGCAGCCCCACACGCACGCCAGCTCCCAGAGGAGCTGGCCCGGGCTGCAGCGTGGGCAAGGCGAGACGGAACCACAGTTCTGAACAAGTGGCCGGAAGTCCTGGAAGACTGGCCAGGCACAGCACCCACGGGGCGCGACTCAGCACCCACACTTCCGGGAAGGCCCCCTCTCCTCCCCTGACCTCCCCCCCCAAAGAAAAGACAGCTCTGCCCTTGCTCCTGTGACTGGCGGCTGGGGGGCCACGGGGCCAGGGCCGCCCACCAGGAGGCCACGCTCGGGGGCTCGGCCTCTGTCTGCACCCGGCCCCGGGCCCTGGAGGCCACTGGAAGGGTGAGCGGGGGCGGGCCGGGCCCCTGCACTCACAGTGGGAGGACGGAGGCCCAGGCCCTGGGTGCGAGGGGCTGCCAGACACAGGAGGCGGCGGCAAGACAGCAGACTGCCTCTAACGTTATATATTAAAATATCCACAGTTCCTGTGCACAGAACCCCGCCCCGCGGCCGAGGCCGCCCCACCGGGCCCGGGCCCGGCCTCCAAAGAAAGATGGGGGCTTTCCTTTTCACGAGCGGAGCGGAGGGGCCCACGCTCGGTCTTTATGGCGCTGGG